ACACACACATACATACATACATACCATCGGTTTTCTAATTCTTTCTTCCATTGTGGGGGCAGTTAATATATCTAGACTTTTCCAAAATGGGGAAGGAGGCTGAGTTTTTCCCCCAATCTATTTTTCCGCCTCCACAGGCCCGCAAGAGAGCTATGGAGGGCTCTGGTGGCAGATCCATACGCCAACCTGAGGGTCATGAAACCCCTCCTCAAAAGGCTCCAGGATGAAGAATCCACCACAGAAATGACCGGAAGGAGAAATAGCAAATCCATCATGCCCATCGCGGTAAGCCATCGACCAGCGGCTCTGTTTTCATTTTATCTAGCTGTGGAGCAGTCCTGAGGGAAAGGGGAAGGGGCTGAAGAAAAGAGTCACCCCTCAGGGGCCTCCCTATTAAGATCAGGTTGGAGGGAGGGAGTGGGCAAAGAGGTGGGGGCTGAAATTGGAGCAAAGTTTTCTCCTGGTGGGCCCACATCAAAGGAATTCCGCTTTTGGATTCTGTAAGCTAAGTAATCCGGTTCCCCACACAGTCAGGAGGCTGTGTGTTGGATTCTAAAGAGAGTCAGATACTTTTCTCTCTGGGCACCGCGGTAATGTATCTGCTGAACAAGACTCTGCATTGGTGACAGGAAGGGCATCTGGCCAGGAAACATCCAACTCCTTTCAGTTGCTCAGACTCCACCCCTCAAGGGATGATGAATCTAAATTACCTGGTGAGCCCCAGGTGACTCTCCTTTCATCCCGTTTCTAGGCCACCAATGCCCTGTCCTTCATCCTCTCGTTACCTGATGCAACGGATGCTATCCAGAACAAATTCCCTCAGCTGCTCATTGCGTTGGTGACGCAGATATATTTTCTCCTTGGAGCCGGCAAACGAGGGTCAAGACGATCAAGCCAAATAATGGATAATTCCCAACCAATCAACTTCTTGGGGTAAGGAATCTCCACGGCCCAATTGGGATACTTGAATAACAGATAACAGTTCATCAAAGTTGGAAGGGACCTTGTAGGTCATCTAGTCCAACCCCCCTGCCCAAGCAGGAGACCCTACACCATTTCTGACAGAGGGCAGTCCTGTCTCTTCTTGAAAGCTTCCAGGGATGAAGCTCCCACAACTTCCGAGGGCAACTTCTGTTCCATGGGTGGATTGTCCTCCCTGTCAGAAAATTCCTCCTTATTTCCAGGTTGAATCTCTCCTTGTTCAGTTTCCATCCATTATTCCTTGTCTGGCCTTCGGGGGCTTTGGAAAATAGCTTGACCCCTTCCTCCTCTCTGTGGCAGCCCCTCAAATATTGGAAGACCGCTATCATGTCTCCCCTGGTCCTTCTCTTCCCTAGACGAGCCATGCCCAGTTCTTGTAACTATTCTGCGTACGTTTTAGCCTCCAGTCCCCTCATCCTCCTGGTTGCTCTTCTGTGTACTTTTTTCTAGAATCTCAACATCTTTTTTATAATGTGGTGAACAAAACTGGATGCAGGACTCTAGGTGTGGTCTTACTAAGGCTTTACAGAGTGGTATTCGTACCTCCCTTGATCTTTCGCCACAATTGTGCTGGTTAAGCTAGTCCCATGGTTGTTAAATGAATCTGGCTTCCCCAGCGACTTGGCTTGTCAGAAGGTTGCAAAAGGGGACGGTGTGACTCATAAAGCGTGACTCACGAACCGTCATAAATGTGAGCCAGTTGCCGATTGTCTGAATTCCGATCACATGGCCATAGGGATGCTACAGCGGTCGTAAGGGGTGAAAAACGGTCATAGGTCACATTTTTCTGGGGTGTTGTGACTTTGTATGGTCACTAAACCAACTGCTGTAAGTCATAGTAATCAAGTTCAGGCACAATCCACCCCTGGTTGGTCCATAGACACTGCCAACCATCATGGCTTGGTTCAATCGTGGCTATCAGGGGACAGATTGGCATCCGGGGGAAGCCTGGGCTTTGCTGGGGGCGAAGAGATTGTCTGAATGATTGGCACTGACTCTTGTTCCTTCGTTTGTTTAGCACTGCCGTGCAAGCGATCCAGAACTTGATTATGCGTGCTGGATACACGGAGGAGTACAACACTTTGGGGACGCTGGGATGCTGGGAAATGCTACTTACCCCAGACAGTGTTTTTGAAGCTATTTTCCACCTGGTCCGGTAAGAAGTTAAAAGTCAAAAGAGCTCGGCTACAAGTTGCCGTGGTTGAGAGAGAGCGGGGAGGGAAGAGGACAAAGAGAGAGGGAAAGAGAGGCGGAGGGAGAATGAAAGGGAGAGGAGTAAGAGTGAGGGAAGGGGAGAGGCAGAGAGAGAGAGAGAGAGAGGAAGAGGGAGGGAAGGGGAGAGGGAGAGGGAGGGAAGGGGAGAGGCGGGGGGAGAGGGAGAAGAGGGAGAGGGAGAGGAAGGGAGAGGAAGAAGAAGAAGAGGGAGAGGAAGAAGAGGCAGAGAAAGAGAGGCAGAGGGAGGGTGAAAGGGAGAGGAGGAAGAGTGAGGGAAGGGGAGAGGCAGAGAGAAAGAGAGAGAGAGAAAGAGAGGGAGAGGGAGGGAAGAGGGAAGGAGGGGGAGAGGCAGAGAGAGAGGGGGAGAGGGAGGGGGAGAGGGAGAAGAGGGAGAGGAAGAAGAAGGGAGAGGAAGAAGGGAGAGGAAGAAGAAGAGGTAGAGGAAGAAGAGGCAGAGAGAGAAAGAGAGGCATAGGGAGGGTGAAAGGGAGAGGGAGGGAAGAGGGAGGGAAGAGGAGAGGCAGAAAGGGAGAGAGAAAGAAAGGGACGGGGGTGAGAGAGAGAAGAGGGAGGGAAGGGGAGAGGGAGAGAGAAATGGGAACAGGGAGGGAGGGAGGGAGGAAGAGGAAAGGAAGGGGAAAGATAAAGGGGGAGAGAGTAAGAAAGGCAGGGAGGGAAACAGAGGGGGACAGAAAGAGAGAGGTAAGGTGAGATAGTGAGGAGGAGAGGGAGGAGAGGGATAGAAAGAAAGAGGGTGGGTGAGAGAGGGAAGGAGAGGAACAGAAGGGGGGAGAGGGAGGGACAGAAAGAGAGAAAAAGAGAGGGGGGGAGGGAGGGAGGGAGAGAAACCCAGGGAGGGAGGGAAACAGAGTGGGAAAGAGAGAAAGGGAAGGTGAGATAGAGGGGAGGACAGGGAGGGAAGGGTAGAGAGATAGAGAGAGAGGGAGGGAGAGGAAAAGAAGACGGAGAGGGAGAGATAAAGGGAGAGAGGGTAAAAGCGTGAGGGAGGGAAGGTGAGATAGAGGGGAGGAGAGGGAGGGAAGGGGAGAGAGAGAAAGAGAGGCAGGGGGAGGAATTCTGTAGACGGAGTATTTCATTCCATCTCTTTGTTCAGATCACGGTATCCGTAGCTTGGCTGTTCTGACCTTCCCACCTCTGATCTTTCAGGAACTTGTTCTCATTCTCTAAAGTGGAACTCAAGGCGATGTTTAGACAGGCCAACATATACCTGCGCCACCCCGACATAAGGGAGAAGACCATCGGGATGGTTTTCTTCTCAGAGGTGAGAAGACATCGGGATGCACCCCAACATCCTGGAGGTCGAGGAAAGCTGCCCTGGGTCCACAAGAACTTTCTGGCTAGAAACTAGAAGTTGTGGGGGCTCCATCCGTGGAGGCCTCGAAGGAGAAGCCGGGCAGCCGCTTGTCTGGAATAGGAGAGGCAGGGGTGGGAGTCCAAAATCCCGGGAACCGGTTGACTTCCTGGTTGCTGGGTGGGTGTGGCCATGGTGGGCGTGGCCGACTAGAACTCCTGGGAGGGGCTTCTTTTGCCTTCCCCAGAGTCCAGAGGCTTCCCTTGCACCTCGGGGAGGGCGAAAACAGCCTCCCGCAGAGTCCGGAGGCTTCCCTTGCACCTCGGGGAGGGCGAAAACAGCCTCCCCCAGAGTCCGGAGGCTTCCC